TGTACAGCAGCAGTCCCCAGCCTTTTTGGCACTAGGGACCAGTTTTGTGAAAGACAATTTTTCCATGGACCAGGGGGTGGGGGTGGGGTGGTTCAGGCAGTAACAAGCGATGGGGAGTGGCAGGTGAAGCTCCACTCACTTGACCACTGCTCACCTCCTGCTGGGCGGCCTGGTTCCTAAAAAGCTGCAGACCAGTACTGGTCCGTGGTCCAGGGGTTGGGGACCCCTGTTGTACAATACAGGGAAATATAACCATTATTTTGTAATAACCTTAAATGGAGTATAATCTATAAAAATAGTGAATCACTGTGCTGTACACCTGAAACTAACATAATATTGTAAATCAACTATGTTCGGTTAAAAAAAATGCTTCCCCTCCAGTATTGGAAACAAATCAAGGATGTTTGTTCTCACCATTTCTATTCAGTATTGTCCTGGAGGTCTTAAACAATGCAATAAGGCAAGAAAAGACATAGAAGTCATAAAGATTGGAAAGAGAGCAAAATTATCTTTGTTATAGTATGATATCACTTACGTGTGGAATCTAAAAGACACAACAAACTAATGAATATAACAAAAAATGAAGCAGACTTACAGATCTAGGGAACAAACTAGTGTTTACCAGTGGGGAGAGGAGAGGGGGAAACTATTGGGTGTAAGATAGGCTCAAGGATGTATTGTACAACATGGGGAATATAGCCAATATTTTGTAATAACTGTAAATGCAAAGTAACCTTTAAAATTATATAAAATTTAAAAAAAATTTTTTTAAGAAAATTATTAGACATAATGAGGATAATGATCAAAATGCACCCTTGTGGTATTTCCCCAAAGAGCCTTCCCCTTCCAGATGGCAACAAGGAAAAATAAGCTTTAGAATGAGTCCTCTTTACATATCTTGTAACCAAGTAGCCTTTTGAACTATTCATAATATTTATTTAAGTTTCAGTTTCTCCAGGGGTGTGTGTGTGTGTGTGTGTGTGTGTGTATAAAGCAAGAGCTATTGGCCACTAAAAAAATATTGCCTTTGTTCACAGATTATGTGAATCTACATAACCCTAAGGAATCTGCAAAAAACTGCTAGAGCTAATAAGTAAATTTAGCAAGGTCAATACACAAAAATCAATTGTATTACTATATACTAGTAGGAAGCATTTAGAAAATGAAATTTTTAGAAATTCCAATTACATTAGCATTTTAAGACGTGAAATAGTTAAAAATAAATTTAATAAGACATGCAAGACCTTTACACTCAAAACTATAAAACGTTGCTGAGAGAAATGAAAGAACTAAGTAAATGAAAAGATATACTACATTCATGATTGGAAAACTCAATATTGTTACAGTGGCTGTTTCTCCCTTAAATGACCTATAGATTCAGTAAATCTCGATAGACTTTTACATAGAAATTAACAAGTTGATTCTGAACTGTGTATAGAAATGCAAACTAATCTTGTCAGACTAATTTTGAAAAGAAGAAATCTTAAATTATCTGATTTCAAGATTTAAAATAAATACACAGTAATCAAAACAACATGGCATTTTTGTAAAGATAGATCTATATAGATCAGTGGAACAGACTAGAGAGCCCAGAAATAGACCCACACATATAAAGTCAATTACTTTTTGACAAAAGGCTAAGGATACAGAAACAGATCAATGGAATAAAATGGAGGGGCAGAAGTACATACACCCATAGACAGTTCATTAATTTTAGGAAAAGACACTTAGGTGATTCAATAGGAAAAGGAAAGTCTTTCTTTTTTTTTTTTGGCAGCATTGGGTCTCCATTGCTGTGTGCAGGCTTTCTCTAGCCGTGGTGAGCAGGGGCTACTCTTCATTGTGGTACACTGTCTTCGCATTGTGGTGGCTTCTCTTGTTGCGGAGCACGTACTTTACGTGCACGGGCTTCAGTAGTTGCAGCACACAGGCTCAGTAGTTATGGCATGTGGACTCTAGGGCGCACGGACTTTAATAGTTGTGGTGCGCAGGCTCAGTAATTGGGCTTAGTTGCTCCGCGGCATGTGGGATCTTCCTGGACCAGGAATCAAACCCATGGCCCCTGCATTGGCAGTCAGATTCTTAACCACTGCGCCACCAGGGAAGTCCAAGGAAAGTCTTTTTAACGTGGTGCTGGAATGACTGAATAAACATGTGGATTAAAAAAAACCGTCAACCCCTGCCTCATACTAAACACAAAAATTAATTCAATATGGATAATAGAACTCAATTCAAAGCTAAAATAATTAAGTTTCTAAAAGAAAATACAAGAAAGTACTTTTCTGACAATGAAGTAGGCAAAGGTTTCTTAATAAAGACACAGGGCTTCCCTGATGGTGCAGTGGTTAAGAATCCTCCTGCCAATGCAGGGGACATGGGTTCGAGCCCTGGTCCGGGAAGATCCCACATGCCGTGGAGCAACTAAGCCCGTGCACCACAACTGCTGAGCCTGCACTCTAGAGCCTGCGAGCCACAACTACTGAAGCCTGCACACCTAGAGCCCATGATTGGCAACAAGAGAAGCCACCGCAGTGAGAAGCCCGCGCACTGCAACGAAGAGAGTAGCCCCCACTCACTGCATCTAGAGGAAGACCACACACAGCAACGAAGACCCAATGCAGCCAAAAATAAAGAGAGGGAGGGAGGAAAGAAGGAGGGCAGGCACAAAAATTACTAAGCATAAAAGAAAAGGGTAATAAAACTGGACTTCACCAAAAATAAAACTAATGCTCATTGAAAGACACAATTAAGGGCTTCCCTGGTGGCGCAGTGGTTGAGAGTCCACCAGCCGATGCGGGGGACGCGGGTTTGTGCCCCGGTCCGGGAGGATCCCACATGCCGCGGAGCGGCTGGGCCCGTGGGCCATAGCCGCTGAGGCTGTGCGTCCGGAGCCTGTGCTCCGCAACGGGAGAGGCCACAACAGTGAGAGGCCCGCGTACCGCAAAAAAAAAAAAAAGTTTTTTATAATAAATTTATTATTTATTTTTGGCTGTGTTGCATCTTCATTGCTGTGCGGGCTTTCTCTAGTTGTGGCGAGCGGGGGTTACTCTTCGATGCAGTGCACGGGCTTCTCCATGCGGTGGGTTCTCTTGTTGTGGAGCATGGGCTCTAGGCGCATGGGCTTCAGTAGTTGTGGCGCACGGGCTCAGTAATTGTGGTTCGTGGGCTCTAGAGCACAGGCTCAGCAGTTGTGGCACACGGGCTTAGTTGCTGTGTCACATGTGGGATCTTTCTGGGCAAGGGCTCGAACCCATGTCCCCTGCATTGGCAGGCAGATTCTTAACCACTGCGCCACCAGGGAAGTCCAAAAGAGCTTTTTTAAAAGTGAGAAAATACTTAACAGACACTTCACAAAAGAAAATATATGAATGGCCAAAAACACATGAAAAAGGGCTTAGAATAATTTGTCATCAGGGAAATGCAAATTAATAACATTGTCAGATATCATTTCACATCCACTAGAATGGCTAAAAAGCCTGACAACAGCAAATGTTGTCAAGGATGTGGAGCAACTAGAACTCCGTCACATTTCTGTTAGGAATGGAAAATGGCACAACCACTTTGGAAGTCTGACATCATCTTATAAAATTAAACATACCTTTACCTTATGACTCAGCAATTTCACTCCTAGTAATTATCCAAGAGAAATGAAAACATCCACAAAAACACCTGTACAAGAATGTTTATAGAAGTTTTACTCATAATAGTAAAAAATTGGAAGCAATTCAGATATTCAACAAAAATATCAAACAAAAAATGAATAAACTATAGCATAGTCTGTGGTGATAGGAATCAGAGCAGTGGTTGCATAAGGGAGGTTGTTTGGAGGGAAGAGAAGGGAAGTTTCTAGAGTGATGGAAACGTTCTTTATCTTGATTAGGGTATTGGTTACCTTGAGATATTGGTTACATAAGCATATACATTTATCAAAACTTTGAATTGCACTTAAGAGAAATTCCACTGTAGGTAAATTTTACCTCCAAAAGAGAAAGAAAAACCTTATATAATTAAAATAGAAGTGATTATTTCTGTAGTCAATACTATATATGTGTGTGTGTGTCTAGGTATATATGTAATTTTACATAGTATATGACCAACATTGAGTGCATGTTTTAATTTTTTTCAACAAACATCTGTTGTGTATCTGCTGTGGGTCAGCCATTGTGATCGTTGCTGGGGATATAAAGGTGACTAAGAGAAAGTGGCTGGACTTACAGAGGGTGTAGCTGGAGCAATAAACACAAGAGAAAAGTGCTAATGTAAAAATGGATGCTGTGTGTGAGGTGAGTGCAAAGGAGGGAGAAAGTTACTGTGATTTGTTGGGGTTGGAGAGATGTGACCAAAAAGTGAATAAACTTTTGCACAGGAAGAAGGGCTTTTTAGGTCAAGAGAACCTCATGAACTAAGGCACAGAGGCATGAGCCTACATGACGTGTTTGCAGAATTTTAATTGGTCCAACGTGACTACAATAATGGGAGATGATATCACGATGGGGGATGATATACTTAATGATGGGACCAGATTGTACAGGGTCATAAAATGCCATACTAAGGAGTTTAGATTCATAGGCAGTAAGGGGTCACTGCTTTTAGGCAAGAGTGACATCAATTCCATTTTTTAAAAAATGTATCTGGTAGTAGTAAAGAATTATTAAAGTTGGGGAGAGATTAGAGGCAGAATGAACAGTTAGAAAGGGGTTGTGGGACTTCCCTGGTGGTCCAGTGGTTAAGACTCTGCTCCCAACGCAGGAGGCCCAGGTTCGATCCCTGGTCAGGGAACTAGATCCCGCATGCCACAAGTAAAGATCCCATGTGCCACAACTAAGACCCGGTGGAGCCAAATAAATAAATAAATATTAAAAAAAAAAAAAAGAAAGAAAGGGGTTGCAAGAATCCGGTGGTCATTTATTTTTTTAAATAGTTATTCACTAGAATTTTGTGATTAAACATTTCTAAACATTTGGCTATTTTTTTCTCTTTTTCTTTAAAATTAACAATAGAAATCCAGAAACATTTTGGACCACCACAGGAATGTTTCCCCAAGAGTTCATTATTTGTTTTCACAAACATGTAAGGATTGAAAGGCTTTTAATCCAGAGTTACTTTGGTAAGCATGATATTTTCATTTCACTTCATTTCATTAATTTTCATCATCTTTCAGTTTTTCCATAGGCAGAAGGCACATATGTAAACTTTTGGCAAAACACTGATTTTTTTTTATCGCATGGAATCCAGTTTTCTTGGTGGGGTTGATGGGTGGGGAGTATGGGTTAACTGCCTTGAGCACAGTTAGCCTCTCTGAAACTGCAAATTTGAAACCCTTCCAAAGCACATAATAATTTCCATGCAATTTACTACGTGAAAGCCTTTGGCAAAAGACCGTGTTATGAATATAAGAAGCCAGCTTGCCAGAACACTAGGTTTCTTGACATCTTTATTCCAGATTCTTTTGGCTAGGGGTTCTCTGTCAAATTCTTTCTGAAAATCTGATAACCCTGATTATTTGCATTTGATAATTTTGATTCTTTTATTAATAATGGCATTTTCTGAGGGATTCAGGAAGACTATCTCCCACTGGAACATCATCCTAATCCTGTCTTATGTTTATTTAAGGATAAAGTATGTCAGACAAAATCATGGCAGGAAACAGGATATACCCCAGATGACTCAGATGAAGAGACATTATTGATGGGACTACTTACAGAATTATGGCCTGGTTTAAGGGAACAACTAGGGATGGTGAGACACCCAGAAAGTGGCTACAGCAGTAAGCCATTACCTCCCCTGGGCCAAGGGAAGGAAATAGTATTGCTGGAGCCCAGTGAGTGCTGGAGCCCATGCATAAGAGCCTGCCCAACAGGAGCTGTAACCATGAACGGACATAACAACTGTCAGACATGGCACTGAAATGGGAAGGGCGCAGAGAAAATACAACCTGATGTCACTTCCCCACTTCTCTTCAGTTTCCTTCCAGTGCCTCCAGTTGGCCAAATCCAGCCAGTAGTCAGTGGGCAAGTGAGTCCAGGTGATGCAGTCCCCAGGGGTCCTCCCCACAGGGCACAGAACACAGAAGGAGAAGAATGGATTTGGGGTGAAGGGAACTGATTTAGGGGTAAAGGAAAAAAAACAGTGCAGAAGGAAGATGACTGCATTTTCTCTTCTGTCATTAATTGCGAAGGCTCTGGAGTCAGACCTAAAGTCTGAATTCCAGTTCTAGCACTTACTAGCTCTATATCATTGAACACTTCACCTGGCTTCTCTAAGTTGCCTGATTTCTTTAAGCCTGTTTCCTCGTCAGTAAAGTAAGTTAATAATAGCTTTCTCCTAAGATTGAAGTCAAGAGTCAATGAATATGTCTGACTCATAGTAGTTTCTCCATAAAGTTTTATGATCAAGATCACTAATGGTACTATTTACCAGTGTACAAAAACCCAAAAATCTAGATAATTCCAAATGCAGAAAGACCCTACTAGCTTTGTGTTGTATGCTTGCAAACACTTGTAAGATACAGTTACACAGTCTGCATTTACTGTCGGGACTTACGGAAAAACGGAGGGAGGGAGTGATTTTCAGAACATGTTGTTCCTGATGCCAGTACTTTGTGCAGTCCCACCAATGCCTGACGGTCTCAGACAAAGGAAAAAAGGAATACAGGGACAGCAACATAGAATTAGATAGATATTAACACTTTATTTTGTTTATTTACAATGTCAGTACGGACCTTGAGGATTGAAAAGAGCACTTCTAAAGAGCCAGTTGATTTTGAGCAGTGGATTGAAAGAGGTATGTGCTGTTTCACCAACATTGTTCTGATCATGAAGAAGTAGAGAATTGTCCTTTACTCTGTATTTCCAACTGGGCTGCATTTTGGTGAAAAAAGATGACTTGAATGATACTTGTGACACACACACACATATATATATATATATTAAAAAGGACCCTAGGTACCTTCTCCCCTATAAAGCTAGTGACCAGTCTTTCCTCCCACAAACCACCCCCAAGAGGTGACTAGGAACATTGAATGTTGAGGCTCAGGACTCAAGGAGACGAGGCATAGTAAAGACAGTGAATGAGACATGGAGTAGAAAACAAGGGATTTAAGTGGAAGCGTACATATTGAGTGGTGGGAACTCCAGCCTCCTTCCTGTGCTCTGCTCAGCAACCAGGAATATAGCCCCAGCCAGGAGATTGGAGGATTCATCTCTGGAGAAACTGAATGGTCCCAGAAGATCGATGGATACTGACACAGGCTAGCTCATTCCTGGTCACCCTATCAAAGTCCAGTAGTCAACGAGTCTGGCTCATGCACATTTTTCAAATGATCTATTCATGAGTAACAGAAGCCAAAAATCACCAGACATATGATGAGGGCCTTAAAACCTCAATATAATCAAGCCTTTAGCTTGAATTCCAATCTATAGGAAAAGGGGATAGAGAACAAATTAAATGAAACCACGAGGAGGCAATATGAGAAAATGAGGGACATTTACAGGACAACTGACCTGCTCTCTTCAGTAAGTCAGTGGTGTGGGAAAAAAATGTGTGTGGGAGAGAAAGCAGTTCAAGATTAAAAGAGACTTAATTCTGATTTGAATAAACCAACTATAAAAAGACAGGGGGACAATGGGGAAATTTGAATATGGACTGGATATTAAAGCATTTTTTATTGTAATATGATAATGGCATTGTAGTTATATAAGAAAATATTCTTATTTAGAGATAGATAACCCAATATTTAAAGGTGAAATGTAATTATGTCTTAGACTTTCTTTAAAATACTTTAGCAAAAAAAATTAGATAAATCAAGTATGGTGAAATTTTAGTAATTGCAAATTCAAGATTATGGGTATATATAGGAGTTATATCCTGTCTTTTTTATGTATGTTTGAGATTTTCCAATTTTTCATAATTTAAAAAAATGAAGCAAATGAAAGAAGAGGTTATTATTAACTTCTAGTAGAGGAGGAGTTGTCTAAGAAAGAAAATGTGTCACAATTTATTACTTATTTCAGCAGTAAATAATGTTTATATAGATAATAGTATGACCATCAAGTATTGATTTCAAAATTGAGAGGATGGCAGGAGGGAAAATTTGCAGGAGGAGGAGGAAGAGGATATTGGTCCAAGAGACATAAATTTTACCTACCATAATATAAAGTCAGTAAAAAATTGATAAATCAAGAAAAGGAGTATAAAACATAATTCCAGGAAAAACAGCTTAAAGTGTTGAAAACATTTGCCTTTAGGGAGCAGGACTGGAGGAAAAGGGGTCAAGCAGGGCATTACTATTTTTCATTACTTCAGAGAAAGGTTAGGAAACAGAAAGTCATACATAATCTTACTTCCCAGAAACTTCCCTTTTTGTACTACATGCCTTTTAAAATTATGTACACTATTTTGATACAAACAAAATTAATTTCTAAATAATGTCGACATTATTATATCAATTAAATATTTCATGTTTCCAAAAGAATGTTTGATGTGATTAACTCATGACCAAATAAGATAATCTGTCCTAAAATTACACAATTAAAGGTTTTCTAAAGCTGGACACCAGAAAAGATCAATTCATGGGTGGCATAACTCAGCATAATTCATTGTGAGAAACTGAGCCCTAGTCTGTACCCATGAGAATGGTAAGATGGCTCCTTTCAGGCCTGCAATTACTCTTAGTAACTTGATCCTTAAAAAGGACTTTCACATTTTATCAATTCTTCACTTTATATTCCTTTACTGTAATTTACATTTACTTTTATTTATACTCACTAGAGATATTTTATAGCTCATAGTTTATCTTTCATACCTTTTATATCAAATATCTCTATTTTTATATTGAATTTTAACCCCAAAACACTGGTAAATCTGGTCTGACTATAGTTTACCAGACATCATGTGTTGCTGAATATAAATTTCAATATGTCCTCATGCATTTTGAGCCCTACCCCAATTCTGTTGAATTTGTGTTTTAGATCTGGTACATACAGAGGGGCAGCTTCAAAATGAAGAAATTATGGTAAGTAAGTATACTTTGAAGAGATCAACATTATCTTTAGCCAGCACAGCATATTTAAATTTTACACCTATCTCCATAGTCATAAAGTTAATAAATACCCTCATAATATTATAGGTTCTGTGTCTCATCAACCAATAGAGATGGTTATTCTCAATAATATATGACAGCAAGGATAGAACAGAATTCACTTGTTTTTGTTTTGTTTATTCATTTATTTTGGAGTATGTACTTGCTTTCCTTTCATTTGATTCTGTGGGCCTTATAGAATAGGAATCAAAAAAGGCTGAGATGCCAAAATCGGATGTTAATTTAAGTATGAAAGGACAAGGGAGATTCAGATAAGGGAACTGGAGCATAGGATCAGCAACAAATAAGCCAAAGAGAGATGAGGTGAAAAGAGAACCAGCAGTTTCCAACAACATTCCATTGGGCTTTGCTTGTCAAGTGGAATGAATGCCCGTTGGTGAGGAAGCTGCTGCCTCATCAGGAGTTTCTCTGTTCCTGCTAGTTTGTCAGGCCCTGGTTTTAGACAAACACAAAAAGCCAAACAACTGTGAATATGTGTTTTTTAGGTAGTAGTGTTTATTTAACTAAGGTGTCTCTAAATAAGGGTTAAAGAGGTACCTTGTTCATTAGGTTTCCTTCTTCACAACTTACTGGCAGCTGCTATGAAATCGGTGTTTCAAATGATTCTCTAGGAGTTTTTGAATCCTGTTAATTATCTTCTCTACCACCTAAGTGTGCCCAATGACTGGGGAGGCCAGTGGGGACCAGAAAAATGATTAATTAGACTGAATTTTATCTTCCTGTTTTTCTCCATCTTTATTAATGGGTTATGGTTAGTAAGCCTCTGCTGAGTATTTTGTTTCAGGACTCACTGTGGATCAGGGAGGGTTGCAGCATCATAGAGCATTTGGAGAAAAGTAAGGGGGAATGGAAGGCTGTAAATGACCCAAAGTTTAGTACCGTCTCACAACAGCTTTTACTATACTTATTTTCTTCTAGTTGTTAACCAAATGCATTACATAGTTATAATAGTATGTATGAAAAAATTTGTATCTTTCAAAAATTTAATAATGTATCAAAAGCTTCATAATTATAATTTTAAAATTAAATGTATGCAGATAGATGTTAACTGATTTCCTTTTTCCTCTCTCTGTCATTATAACTAATACTACAGGGGACATCTTATGCCTGTTCCTGCTACCACAATGTTCACCTTTTTAATTATTTTCTAAAATTAAATTTCAAGGAATGGAATTACTGGGTCCACGGGTATAGACATATTTATAGCTTCTTATATATGCTGCCAAATTGCTTTTCGGAGACTTTTTTTACATTTTTATATAAACGTAAAAGTATAGTAATATTCAGGGTAGTGTATTCTGAGGCATCATCCAACAAATGAAATCTCTTATTATGAAAAATACTTCAGAAAAACACTTAAAAAAAATTAATCAGGGCTTCCCTGGTGGCACAGTGGTTAAGATCCACCTGCCAGTGCAGGGGACACAGGTTCGAGCCCTGGTCCAGGAAGATCCCACATGCCACGGAGCAGCTAAGCCCGTGTGCCACAATTATTGAGCCTGCACTCTAGAGCCTGTGAGCCACAACTACTGAGCCCTTGTGCCACAACTACTGAAGCCCGTGTGCCTAGAGCCCGTGTTCCGCAGTAAGAGAAGCCACAGCAATGAGAAGCCTGCACACTGCAACAAAGAGTAGCCCCCACTTGCCGCAACTAGAGAAAGCCCATGCGCAGCAACAAAGACCCAATGCAGCCAAAAATAAATAAATAAAATAAATTACTTTAAAAAATTTAATCAGAATTGTACAGTGCAATTTTTAACTCCACCTGCTATTCTTCCTCAAACCAAGGCTGATATTTGGCTGCTACATATCAGAATAACTGTACTGTTACGTGTGGCTGGCTTCTCTTCTGAACATTATATCTTATAAATCATTATATATTTAGAATATTATTCTTGCATCAAACACTTTCTTCTGCTAACTGCTTGTTTAACAGTTAACTAGAATTCTAAATCATCTATATTGATTTTTCCCCTACAGGTACATGATGGCCACGCCACTTACTTGAGATTCATTATTGTATCAGCCTTTGATCATTTTGCATCTGTGCATAGTGTTTCTGCAGAGGGAATAGCAGTCTCAAATCTTTCTTAATAATTATAACAAAATACTCTTGCGCTATTTTTTAACAATATATTTATTTAAACATGAAGTTGTTATTATTAAAGGTATTTGTATCAATCTGTTTCAGTTTTTATTTATTTTCTCTTCAACATTTTGTAGGAATTTGGTTCATCAGACAGCAGTGACGGCCACCGTGTAGGTCATAAGAAAGCTTTTGCTTCGGTATACAGCTTAATCAAGGACGTGACTATACATGAAAACAACTGATAATACATTGTGTCCCCACAGTATCTAACATAGTACCCTTCAGATATCAGTGCATTAATTTTTAAATTTATTGATTGATTGATGCAAAGGGCTAAGGGCGCAATATGGAAAATAAACAATGTACGAGTTCAAAAAAGAGAAAGTATTTATGGGATGGTTTCTTTGAGGTCATGGAACTTGAACTGGGCCCTGTAGGACAAATCATTTTATTTTTTTCTCTTTATTTTATTTTGTTTTGATTTCAAGACCTCAGAGAAGAGTTAGGAAACATATAATCTTACTTCCCAGAGACAACCATTATTGATATTATTTGATTTTCTTTATATTTTGGGAAGGAAAGGAACAGGATAGGACAGATTCGGGTGGGGATATAAGACTTCTCTGAATATATCTTATTATACAACTTGAATTTGAAAACATAAATAATATAGCCAAAAGTTAAAGGGCAATTCCAAAATGTTGAAAACAACAGAAATGCATGAACCTAACTCTGTTACAATTGATAAACCCACAGGGGAAAAAAATGGCATTAGAATATAGTATTTTATCTATGCAGTCTATGTTAGTCTCTTTTTTTTTTTTTTTTAATTTATTTTTGGCTGTGTTGGGTCCTCGTTTCTGTGCAAGGGTGTTCTCTAGTTGCGGCAAGTGGGGGCCACTCTTAATCACGGTGCGCGGGTATGTTAGTTTCTTATAGCTGCTGTAATAAAGTACCACAAACTTGGTAGCTTAAAACAATAGAAATCTATTTTCTCAGTTCTGGAGGCTAGAAGTTGGAAATCAAGGTATTGGCAGGGTTTGTTCCTATCAGAGTTCTGAGGGAGAATGTGTTCCATGCCTTTCTTTTAGCTTCTGGTGTTTCTGGCAGTCCTTGGCATTCCGTGACTTGTGGCACCATAGCCCCAGTTTCTGCCTCCATCATCATATGGCATTCTTTCTGTGTTTCTCCACATCATCTTCCCTCAATGCATATTCTGTGTCTTCTCCTCTTCTTATAAGGACACTGTCATATTGAATTAAAGGTGCACCCTACTCCAGTATTATCTCATCTTAACTAATTACATCTGCAATGATCCTGTTTCCAAGTAAGGTTGCATTCACAGGTACCAGGGGTTAAGATTTCATCATATCTTTTGGGAGATGCAGTTCAAGCCACAACACAGTCTTAGTGAAATATATATGTGATAGTTAATTTTATGTATCATATTGACTAGGTCACAGTGCCCAGATATTTGTTCAGACATTATTCTGGATGTTTCTGTGTAGGTATCGTTTAGATGACAGTAACATCGGTGGACATTGAGTAAAGCAGACTGCCCTCCATAATGTGGGTGAGCCTTATCCATCAGTTGAAGACCTTAGTAGAACAAAGACTGACCTCCCCTGGGCAAGAAAGAATTCTGCCAGAAGATGGGCCTTCAGACTTGTATTGCAACATCAGCTCTTCCCTGGGTCACTGACCAACCCTACAAATTTTAGATTTGCCAGCTTTCTTGTTATCACATGATACTTTCTTACCAGTCTCAGCATTCTAAAAAAGTAGCAAAAGAGGGACAGCCACAAAGTGCCAACGCTTTGAGTCTCTGCTTGTATCATATTTGCTATTGTCCTGTTTCCCAAATCATGTTATATGGCCAAGCCCAGAGTCAGAACAAGAGGGGTCTACCCAAGGGAATGGATATAAGGAGGTGTGACTAAATTGGGAGTGGGGAGGAAGTGGTAGCCACTACTGCTAGAATCTACTACAATTAAACATGGTGCCTCCTGATATGATGCAATGTGAAGCATATAGACCAACCTATGAAGTGCTCGTGCCAAAATTACTGAGCCTGAATCAAATCAAGTTCTAGAGTTATCTTTCACTTTCAGGAAGTTCAAGAGAGAGAGGAACAAGTAAAATGACACCACAAGGAAGCAAAGAGACTTGTAGCCATTAATGCAGCACAGTGAAATGCCCAGATCTGTGCCTTCTCTGCCCATGGTAAGATATACTTCCTGGCCTTCTTTGGGTAGGGCCATGAGACCAATTCTGGCCAATGAGATGAAGGGTAGTTGAATTCCAGGCTGAGCATTTAATTGCCTTCAAGAGACCCTTCAAAGCTCTTTTCTCTCTCCCACAATGACCAGCAATGTTATTCTCCACAGTAACTACTTCATCATTCTAGGTCTGGGAGTGAGACTGATGATAACAGGTAGCAGAGGTCCCAGTCAATCTGAGGTACACATAGAGGAGAAATAAAGCTTCATTGTTTTTTTTTGTTTGTTTTGTGTGTGTGTGTGTTTTGGCCATGTGCGGGATCTTAGGGATCAAACCTGGGCCCCCTGCAGTGGAAGTGCAGAGTCCTAATCACTGGACCACTGGGGAATTCCCAAGTCACTGATACTTTGGAGCTGCTTGTTACCCCAGCATAACCTGGCCTATCCTGGCTGATATACAGACAAATCTAGAATATGGCTTATCCTACAGGACAAGTGACCTGGTTTCTTCAACAAGTCAGTGGCATGAAAAATGCTAATTAATTAAGGAAGGGGATCCACTCTAGATTCAGAGAGATGTAAGAGCCCCAAAAAGCACATGCTATGTGTGGATTTTATTTGGATGCTGATTTGAGCAAACCAACCGAAAAAAAGACATTTTAAAGATAATTGGGGAAATCTGCTTATGGACTGGGTTTTATTGTTCATTTTGCTAGGTGTGATACTGGCATTAAGCTTATCTAAGAAAAGGCCCATATTTTTCAGAGATGCATTTAGAAGTATGTAGGGTAAAATAACATGGTATTTGGGATTTGCTTTAAAATACTTGAACATATTTTTTTAAAGGAAAAATTGTTCGTTGAAGTAAATATAACAATAAATTGTTGGACCCAGGTTATGGATATATGGGGCTTCATTGTACTAGTCTTTCTACTTTAATGTATGCTTGAAATTCTTCATAATAGACAAATAACAATAAATAATGCTACAGAGGATATCTCTGTGCATAAATCTTTGCCTACCCCTCAGATGATTTTTTTTTTTTTTTTTTTTGGCCATGCTGCGGCATGTGGGATCTTAGTTCCCCAATCAGGGATCGAACCCATGCCCCCTGCAATGGAAGCACAGAGCCTTAACCACTGAACCACCAGGGAAGTCCCTCTGATGATTGTTTTAGAAGAGATTCCCAGAAGGGAATTAGACAAAGTTAGGAACAGTTTTAAGGCTTTTGATACTTTCTGATAATTTGCTTAACAAGATTTGTTGCACAAATTTACTTACTCTCAGAAACGTAAGTTTTAAATAAATGGAGGAGAGTAGAAAAGCTACTTCAAGAGTAACGTTGGTGCCATCAAAGATATGAAGGTGAGTACTCTCATAAAACGTATTTAGGGAGTGATGAATACATACTTCTGACTAGGGCAAAGGAGAAGACTAAAACCAGACATTGCAGCCAGATCAGAAAGAGCCTTTAATGCTTTCAGATATTTTCCCATAACGCTGGAGCCATTTAAGGTTTTTGAAAAGGAAGGTGACTTAGAGCAATTGTGTTCATGTTCAATAAAATCAAACACTGAGGATTTTCCTTTCGCCAGCTTCCTAAACTGGAATGTCAGTAATTCTTTGTTTAAGAAACACTGTGTTAATTTGTATGGAAACACAAAAGACCCCGAATAGCCAAAGCAGTCTTGAGAAAGAAAAACGGTGCTGGAGGAATCAGGCTCCCGGACTTCAGACTATACTACAAAGCTACAGTAATCAAGACAGTATGGTACTGGCACAAAAACAGAAATATAGATCAATGAAACAGGATAGAAAGCCCAGAGATAAATCCACGCACATATGGTCACCTTATCTTTGATAAAGGAGGCAAGAATATACAGTGGAGAAAAGACAGCCTCTTCAATAAGTGGTGCTGGGAAAACTGGACAGCTACAGGTAAAAGAATGAAATTAGAGCACTCTCGAACACCATACACAAAAATAAACTCAAAATGGATTAAAGACCTAAATGTAAGGCCAGACACTATAAAACTCTTAGAGGAAAACATAGGCAGAACACTCTATGACATAAATCACAGCAAGATCCTTTTTGACCCACCTGGAGAAATGGAAATAAAAACAAAAATAAATGGGACCTAATGAAACTTAAAAGCTTTTGCACAGCAAAGGAAAACATAAGACGAAAAGACAACCCTCAGAATGGGAGAAAATACTTGCAAATGAAACAATTGACAAAGGATTAATCTCCAAAATAAACAAAGCTCATGCAGCTCAATATCAAAAAAACAAACAACCCAATCCAAAAATGGGTGGAAGACCTAAATAGACATTTCTCCAAAGAAAATTGCCAACAAACACATGAAAGAATGCTCAACATCACTAATCATTAGAGAAATGCAGATCAAAACTACAATGAAGCATCACCGCACACCAGTCAGAATGGCCATATCAAAAAATCTACAAACAATAAATGCTGGAGAGGGTGTGGAGAAAAG